CAGAGAGAGAGGATGGAAGAAATGAAAGAAAGGGCGAGGAAGGCATGTGAGAGGAGTGAGGAAGCAGGACGTCATAAGAAAAAGAGAAGATGTAGAAATAGTGAGCCGATAGAAGATACAGAAAGGCAGAAAAAGAGAGAAAATGAGAAGGAGAGAGAGGGAGTGAGAGAAGTAAATTAGATAATTGGAGAGAGGAGGAGAGAAACCGTATGTAGAGAATCGAGAGAAAGTGTGACAAAAAGAAATGAAAAGATTAACAAGGAATCCCATGAATACTAGGTAGAGGTAGACATGTAATTAGATAGATAGAGATAGATAGATAGATAGATAGATAGATAGATAGATAGATAGAGAGAGAGAGAGAGAGAGAGAGAGAGAGAGAGAGAGAGAGAGAGAGAGAGAGAGGAGAGAGAGAGAGAGAGAGAGAGAGAGAGAGAGAGAGAGATATAGGGAGGGGAAACAGAGAAAGACTCAGACAAATAGACATGAAGGCAGAGACAGAAAGAGAGAGGAAAAGTGAACGTAAATGGAAGCAGACACACACGGCGATGCAGACACCCCGACCGAGTGAAAGTGTTCAACGTCACACGAAGCCGTTCAGCATCCCATCTCTCTAACAAAAATAAAAAATAAAAAATAAATAAAAAAGATAAAAACAGCTTTTCCTCGCTAGGAATTTTAATATCTTTTCCTGCGAGGTTCAGCGTCACTTCGGGTCCTAAAAAAGGTGTTTTAACTGCAGTGTCCTGTTTGTCCCTGGTCGAGCTGTTGGGGAAAAAGTTGTTTGCAACAGTAAAAAAAAGAGAGAGAAAAAAAAGTATGTGTGTGATGAAACGGTGAGAATCTTAGGTGTTGATAGAGGAATATAAAATGTTCAATTTACATTTCTATAAGCCTTGATTCTCAAAATGATATATTGCATATATAGTGTGATTAAAATGTTCAATTTACATTTCTTTAAGCCTTGATTCTCAAAATGATATATTGTACATATATAGTGTTGATAGAGGAATATAAAATGTTCAATTTACATTTCTATAAGCCTTGATTCTCAAAATCATAATGTGTTGATATATTGTACATATATATTTTTTCTTCTTATATAATCCCTAAAAAGGAATAACTATTGTGAAACGCATAATAGGAAAATTAGATAAACTGAACATCAAATTAGTAAATTTAATGATACGAAAAATGTTTTTTAGAAATATTAATCAACAACAGTCACAAAAAATGTCAATTGAATAGCTAGTTATGCACACATCGACACTGTTCATCACTGCAAGGTTGAACTGTGCAATGTGGCTAGTGATGCAGCAACAGGGTGTCGAGATGCAGCCGAATTCATAAAAAACATTAGGGGATGACCGTGAGCTGCCTTGCCCTCACCTATTCACCTACTCACCTACTCACCTATCCACCTGCTTGTTTCCAGCGCGCTTATCCTCCCATTCACACGTTAACTCATTTACTCTCTTATCCATCTACCATTCCAACCACGTACTTAGTTATTTATTTCCTTACCTATCCACCTATCCTTCTTTCAGCATCCTCGCGCACCTGTTGTACTTACTCAATAGGTACCTATCCACTCACCAACACAGTCTTCCACTTACTCATCTACCCACTCATTCATCCATTCATCCACTCTCCAACCCACCTACCCAACTAGTCATCCACCCACGCTTCTCTTACTTACTCACCCACCTACCTACACACCTAAGGACACATTTACTCACCAACCCAGCCTCCCAAACTACTCACCTACCCACTCATTCATCCATTCATCCACTCACCTACCCACCTACTCGTCTATCCACTCTTCTACCCACCCATTCACTCACCAACCCCCATCCACCCACTTTTCCTCCACCTACCCACTTACTACCCACCTTCCTATACCCCACCTCCACCTTTACCACCCCCTCCACCTACCTACCCCCCTCCTTCCCCTACCTCCCACCCCTACCTTCCACCCACCTACCCACCTACACATCCACCTACTCATCCACCCACGCATACACCCACCCACCTACCCACTCACCCTTCTTCCACCTGCTCACGCACCCACCTGCTCGCCCTACTAGGTGTTCTTCCCCTACTAGTGTCTATTCTCAAGAAAAGAATAAATGGCAACTCACCTTCGACTCTGGGGAACTTCGATTCGCCAAATTTTGAGAAAAAGTCGTTACGTAATGAAGACAACAAATTTCAATAAAGATGAATAAGTAAATGAGTAAAATAATAGTGTATATGATTCTTAATGATGCAAAAAATGTGAATAAAAGTATCAAGTGTTAGACGATAAAAAAAAAAAAAAAAAAAAATGGGTGAATCGGAACGCTCCTCAGTCTGGGTGAGTTGCCAGCTTGTCTTTTTTTTCTGAGATGGGTCTGAGTATGGATGACTAATCTATTTTTTCACACTGTTAGCCGCTACCTTCCTCTCCTTCCTCTTCTTCGCTTGGGAGACGGAATGAGATAAAGAAAAAACAAGGGTTTGTTTACGTATTTGGAGAAATATGAGGAGGAAATAAGGATAAACATACATATATATGCTCTTTGCTTTTCTCTTTCGATTTCTCGCTTTTCTTGTCCTTTTTCTTTTCTTGTCTGGCCTTCTCTTCTCTTCTCTTTTATCTCTCTCTCTCTCTCTCTCTCTCTCTCTCTCTCTCTCTCTCTCTCTCTCTCTCTCTCTCTCTCTCTCTCTCTCTCTCTCTCTCTCTCTCTCTCTCTTCTCTCTTTCTTCTCCTTCATTCATACTCATTCATACTTTATTCATTCTTACTTCATTCATTCTTTACTCACTATTCATTCCCTATTCTCATTACACCTCATTCTCCATTCTATGTTTTTAACCCCATTCTCCATTCATACTTAACTCATACCTCATACTTACTCATACCCATCT